TTTTTTGCCTTCATCCCTTTTGTCCACATTATCTTCTATTTATTTTTCATTAATCATAGGTACTTTTAAGTTTTTGCTAACTTCAATATTTGGATCAGAGCACTGAGCCTTCAGCAATCTTAACTATCTTGGGGTCCAGGGACCATGCCAAATGTGTAGTCCTCTTCCAAGGACGCTTGTGACTAAGCCAAAGCTGGTTTTAGCAAAAAGCCCAGATGGTGAGAAAAACAAACAAACAAAAGCCCCCAACAGTAAACACTGATTAAAATGCAAAGACTGAGAATCAGTGGGTCAGCATATCACAGGGGGCATCAGCCTCAGGAAAACCATAGCTCCTTTTAGACATATGGTCACCTGCTTACATCAGCCAGTGAAGAAAGCCAAGGGTGTGGAATATAGAGCAAGCCTCCCTGCAACTGGTCAATTTTTTCTCTGACTGAAAGGGAGGACCTGCAGCCCTTCAGAGGGCGAGGGATAAGATGCCTCTGGGTGTGGCCAGAGTGACAGCAAATTTTCTTGGTCCTTTCTGCTATAACTAGAATTGAAATGTCAAGGGCTGAGGCTCTTTGGGAATCACTTCTTGCCTAGGAACAGAAGGCTATATCCAAGGAGTGGCATGACTAGGAGGGACTCTGAAATGAACCACCTAGGGAAAAGTTTGCAGGCAGTCATAGAAAGGAAGGAGGTTTAATAAATGATTCACGCATCCAAAAGTAAATCTTGTGAAGGATGCAGCATAATGTTGAATTAAAAACACAGGTTTTGGGGTCAGACTGACCTGGCTCCAAATTCTGCCTCCACCTCTTACTGGCTAAGCAATGTCAAAGAATCACCCATGTGAGGGTGGGGGTGTGTGTGCTCAGGACAGCCTGATAGGACCTTCAGCAATTCAGTGATTTTAGTCATGTAGCGACATTAAATTCATTGATTTATTCATTCATTTATTGAATAAATGAGTTATGTTCTTCGTTGCTGAGAACACAGTCCTAGCTTTGGTATTCGTCCCAAATACTAGATTTTACCATTACTTATTTTTGCCAAGGCCTGGCTGAAAAAATGTTTTACTTTCACTGAATACAAGAGCCAACCATTTCAGAAAATCCTCTTTGGGCTAGATTTCACAGATTACTAAGCACAGTGAGGAGCAGGTGCAACCCTTAGAAGCAAACACAGCTGTATTCAATTAAAAGTACACCTCTAATTGGTCTCATTAAATTCGCATGAAAGAGAGACATGGCTGGCACATACCAGACACCTAGTCCTGCCATTTCCTGCCTACAGGGCACCATTCCGGAAGGAAGACAGATGTAAGAGCTGCAGAGAAGCAGGGTGCCGGCTGCTCTCCCACTCCCCCAGCTCAGGCCCATTTCTAACGAAACTCCAGGGGTTCTGTTTCCATCATCTCTTGCTGTGTAACAAATCTCCCCTAAATTTACTGGATGAAACCAACCACCGTTTTATTTGCTGACATGTTCTGTGTTGACAGCTAAGGAGTTCTTCTGCGGCACATGACCTTTGCTAAGGCTGCGGTCATCTGGAGGCTTAACAGGGCTGAGAAGTCCAAGAGGGCTCACTGCCATGTCTGCAGTTTGGTGGGGACAGCTGGGAGGCTGGGGTAGCTGAGCCTCTCTCATCTGTGTGATCTCAGATCAGCCAGATTTTCTTACATGGTGTCTTAGCACTCTCCAAAGGGCAAAACAGAAGCTACCAGGCTTCCTATGGCTTAGGCCCAGTATTGTCACTTCCCCACATTCAGTGGGTTAAAGCAAGTCACATACCATCCTAGATTCATCACAGGAGGGGAATGCACAAGGGTGTGAATCTTGGGAGGCATGGTTCAGTGGGGGCCGTCTTTGGAGAATAGCTGTCGATGGATTCTCTAACTGGGGCTTCATAAGGATATGAGAGATTGAACTACAGAATGTGCTAGAGTGCTTATTTAACAGTAACCTTAGACAAAGCAAAACAAAAGTTATACAAATACTATGGAGTGAGATTCTGGCATTAATTCTCATATCTCCTCATTAAGGAATTGGGGAAAGTGTTAATTAGACACGTTTTAAGTAAATGTCTTTTCTCTAGTCCTTTGGTGACATTTCTTTCATCTTGCTTTACATCATCTGTTGGGCTTCTCCTGTGATTCCTGTAGTCACGTTGCAATTATCACCTCTCTTCTGGGGAATGGCATTTATATTTATTGCTGAGGAAGCTCCATCTCACCATCCTCGAGCATCCAAAGTTCATAATTTATGTGCAGAATCTTTGTCAACTGCCTCCATAGCCCCAGACGCTACTGTCCCTAATGGCTCCCAAATGATGCTGAAAACTTAAGGAAGGTTGTTCTCCTCCAATATACACTCTGAAATACTACCCTGCTAATAAAATTTTTTATACCTATGACACCCTCTGATTTTTGAAAACTTTTTGTGTCTGTGAGTAGTTAGGGGGTTTTTAAAAGGCCCTGGATTTTTGCCAAAAGAGTGACCTCCAGGTTATATAGAACCTGAAAAGGGACCCATACATAACAGGATATCTGGTATGTAGAAGATGCTCAACACATGTTCATTGAGCAAAATGATAAATGTCATGATAATTGTTATGAGGAATCAATGAGTGCTGTGTTCTGAATGTTTACGTCCCCCTCAAATTCATATGTTGAAATCCTCACCCCCAAGGCAATGGCATTAGGAAGTGGGGCCTTTGGGAACTGATTAGATCAAGAGGGTGGAGCCCTCATGATTGAGCTGGTGCCCCTACAAAAGAGATCCCAGAGCGCTGGCTAGCCCTCGCTACTGTGCGAGGACACAGCGAGGAAGTGCCATAGGTGAACCAGGAAGCAGGCCCTCACCAGACATCGAATCTGCCGGTGCCTTAATCTTGGACTTCCAGCCTCCAGAACTGTAAGAAATAAATATCTATTGTTTATAAGCCACTTTGTTTATGGTATTTTGTTATAGCAGCCTGAATGGACTAAGACAGTGAGTCCTGGACCTGGAACACTGTGAGTTTCAATAGTTGTTAGTTACCATTTTGGTATCTGCTCCATCTCCTATTCTCCAATACAAAATCATCCCCAAAATATTAATCCTGAACCTTAGATTGCCCTAGCCATATGCTGAAACCATTTTTCTCAGTGTCTTTTAATGGGAACATTCAATACATTTACATTTAACTATCAATATATTTGGTATTTCTGCCATTCATTTTGTGCTATTTGTCTCACCCTTTCGTTTCTCTTTATCTCTCTAGTTGCCTCCTTTTGGACTTTTTTTCATTCCATTTTTTCCTTTCCATTAGCTTCCAAGTTATGCATTTTCTTTCCACATGTTTAGTGGTTACCCTGGACATTTTAACAAGTATACTTTACTACTCAAAATCTAAGTTATTTACTATCTTTTTCTTTCCTCAATGATATAGAACCTTAGAAAACTTTCACAATGATCATCTGTCTCTGGACTTATACATCGTTGCATGTTTTACTATTATTTTTCTTTTTCCAACTCCCAAGACATTTTTATTATTGGTTTATGGAATCATTCTTTGCTCAGAGTTTATAGTAAATTTTTTATTCATTTTTCAAATCTGATTGGTCAGTTTTATGGTCTTTTGTTCTTTACTTATGTCTTTAACCTCTCGTGCTATTTATTTAAACATATTCCACATCTGATAATTCAGGGAGTCTTTAAATGTCTAATTCTGAGTTGTTTTTGCTGACTCTTGGTCATGGTGCTGTGTTAGTCTTTGATTCGTGATTTGTGAGGTTTTGTTCATATTCCTTGGAAATTATGTGTAAATAATTGTGCCTAAGAGGAAAGTGGCAAGTGATTTCCTCCAAAAAGGAGGATTTGCATCTGCTTTTGTGGGTGTCTGAGAGAAATACCAACCTAAGAGCACCTTAAATCAAATTCTTGGCTTCAGGTTTTCCTAAACACTTGAAGTATACTTTTTGTCTGCAAGTCTACATGAGGACAGGACTTTTAATTGAAAAATCAGGGGAAATGTCTCCCCATTCCCATTCAATTCAAGTTTCCAGTCAGCCTATTTTATTCACAATTTTCTGGAGGTCCAGGGTCAGGGATAGATTAATTTCTTATTTGCCCTTATAGGTAAAACGGTAAGGTATCATCTGTCATGATGTTGGAAACAGAAATTAGTGTGTTGAAATTTTACTGAAAGTTCTATTTTGGTTTTAGAAAGGCAACGCCATCATCATGTGGTCACCCGTGGTAATCAGAACTTAGAGAGACTTTTGGGGAGAGTAATGAACAGGACAGTCCCTGATTTCTACGCACCATCCTCGGTGCCCATTCCAAGTAGAATTTAAGCTACGCTCGCGAGGTGGAAGTTGGCTGGGGAGGTCATCGTGAGGACAGCTCTGTTCACAGGCCTGAGGGATTAGGTATCCACTTCCGCCCTGGCTCTGCCGCAACGCCGCCACCTTCCTCCTGTATCTTGATCCTGGCTCCACCCTCACTCTGTCCCCATCTGTTGGTTACTCAGCTGAAAACCTTTCCCTGCCCAGCCTTTCCAGCTCTCTCTGGGAGCTTGGGCCACATCATACCTGAAGGACCATCTTCCTTGGATCTCTGTAATCCCAGACATCACCTTGACAAGTCAACTGTCCCACGAGCTGCTCCCTGTCCAGGCCTTTGACCAGCTCGTGGTCTCCTGACCTCAGTCCACTCAAGCGTGACCTCCATGATCCAACTCAGACAGCCTTTGCTCTTTTCTTTTCACATCCCCCTCCCCTCTTTCCCTTCTGTCTTCCATGTTCTTGTTCACATCTACTCCAGGGCTCTATGGTTAGACACAAAAAGTCATGGTTATATCTCCCTTGATATCACTCTGACTCCCCATCCACATTTTCTTCCATGAGAGGTCAGCTCCTGGGTACACGGGCCCAAATGTGAGTGACACACAGAAGGGATGGCGTGTTCCTTCTGCAGCCTCAGCACATCACTATCCAGCCCTTTCAGCCCCTGTGGTTTTCTCACTTCTAGTCGAAAAGGCCCAGAAGCAAACCTGGAGGTGAGACCTGAGGAAAGCTGGAGCCATGCTGACCTTGTGCGCTGTGAAGCAGACTCCGTTGCTGGAAAGCCCGCCGTCAGTGCAGAGGAGGAAGGCGGGGATCCCCAGATCTGCCGTGTGTGTGGGGACAAGGCCACTGGTTATCACTTCAATGTCATGACATGCGAAGGATGCAAGGGCTTTTTCAGGTACAGTTACCCACCCACCTTTGCCCCTTGCCACCACTTACACACTAGGTCACACTGCCTAGGGCCTGCCATTAGCTCCTGCGCAGCCTCTCAGGGCCTCAGCTTGACCTGTCCCCCAGCTCCAGACTTGGGCTTGTGGCCTATCCCAAGGCCTCCTAATTAGTCTCAAGTGACCCACTAATATCTCAGAGGAGTCCTTCCTCTTCTGTCTTCCTGCTCCATCCAGGAAATTTTCCCTCCCATTAAGCTACGCCCTGGTTTCTCCATATGTTCTTGAATAAAATGGAGGACCCGTCAGTAAAAGAGTGAAGAATTTGAAAACCCAAAATGTAAGTGTTCAAATCAGTCTTATGAGGTTGTTTTTAAGTAAAGAATGGCATAAAATAAATTAAAAATATAACAAAACAAGCTCACCTAGAAACAGACAAACAGGGAGGACCAAAAAAGTAAGGACTAAAAAGTCCCAGCTATAGCAAGGCAGCCCTGGACGGAGGGGCTCATGTTGTCCAGCTGAAGAGACAGAGCAAAGCCAGCTCAGCAAGGCTACCCTTGGCACAGGGCTCAGACCAGGAGGAAAAGAAGCAGACAAGAAAGGAGGGATGCGTGAGGAAGCGCTTTCAGTGTACCCTCAAGAAGGGATGGGTATGCAAGGAGCAGCTCCCCCCTCAGGGGCCACGCTTGGGACCCTCGTGCATTTTCAGGACAGCCAGCCTGACTGGCTGGACATTCAAATAAAAATGGCAGATCCAAAGGCGTCTTGTTCCAGGGAGAAACAGACATTTGCGTTGCAAATGGTCTTTTGTTATAAGAGGGGCAACACACCAGCGGTGTCAGGCTGCATTCAGTTACAAGTCACAGGACACTGACTCAGACTGGTTTGACAATAAGGAAAACATATTACCTCTCACAATGAGAAGTCTGAAGGCTGCCGGGTTCGTGAGTTCAGCAGCTTCATTCTTTCCAGTTTTCTCTTCAGCTGTCCTACCTGAGAGCTGTGATTTCAGTCTGTCTCCCCTTGGGCAAGCATGGTGCCGGGGGTCCCAGGCAGTAACCATGATGTTCAGCAGAGGAACAAAAAGTGCATCTCTTCCTCGCTCCAAGAGGAAGGGAACCCTTCCTGGAAGACTCTGGCAGTGAACATTGGCTAGAGCTGGGACCCAACCTACTCCTGAACTAGTCACTACCAAAGAGCACCACATAGATCCCTGAGCTGGGCACGTGCCACATGGCCGCATGGAAGAGGGTGGACATCTCTGCCAGATCTAGATTTGGCCAGCACAGAAGAGGCCACAGGAGTGGCTGTCCCAGCAGCAGCCGGTGTCCTGCCTTGGGGTGCGGGAGTCCTCTGCTCTCCCCTTCTGATTTGGGTGCTATTCCCGGGACTCCCAGAAAAAGGCAGCATGTTGCAGTGGCTAAGAGCTTGGATTCCGGTATCAGCCAGACCTGGATTCACATTTCAGTTTGTCATCTACATGGAGCACAATTGGGGATCTATCTTCTCAAAGCCTCAGTCTCCTTCATCTGTGCCAGGCAGATGACATGATGATTTCATAGGGTTTTGAGAACTAAATTTGCAAAGCTCTGCAAAGTATCTAGCCCAGCATCTGATACATAGCATGCCTTTAATAAACGTGATCCCTGGTTTCCCCTTTTACCCATTCTGGGCGGACTTTGGAGTAGCATCAGGGGTCTTTTACCTGGGCCGGCAGGGAAGGAAGAGGCAAGAATGGTGTCTGTGAAGAACATGTCTGTAGGCTGGTCACTGGCCCGAGGCCTCAGGCCTCCAAGCTCAAACCTGCAGGGGTCACTATGAGCTTGGCTCAGCCTCCCCGGGACGCGATGCCTTCAGGGACCGCTCTGCAGCCCCGCCTGGCGGTTCCCAGCTTTCTCTCATTTTCCACTGTGAACCAGAACTAGAGGCCACAGCCATGGGGGAATTTCTTTCTTCCCACCCAGCTGTGGGCTGGGGGAAATGAAGTTAGGGCTGCACTGACTGGGTCTTTGTGGGAAGTTCAGGGTGCCTGGGCTGTGGGGAGCGGGTGGCTGGGCGGAGTCTCCAAAAGGCGTCTGCCCTGTTGCCTCCCCTGGCGCCGCATCTGTGCAAGGCCTGTGCCTCGCACGCTCCCCTATTACAGGGCGCTGAACCTCTTTGCCCCCAAGGTCGGCGAGGGGAGTCGACCCTCCAATGGCGAAGCCATTTCCCCGTGAGGGAGAAAGGCTTCCTCACAGCTCACCCACCGCTCCCTGGCTTCCCAATCGAGCACAGGAGCTGCGGGAGGGAGGGGACTTCTTCTGTCCCTTACCCTGGGGTCAGGTTTCCTCTGGCTCCCGCTTCCAAGGAGGAGAAACCCCAGAAGAGGCCCATCTCCATGGAAATATCCCTGGTAACAAGGATGTGAAGAAGGGGAGAGGGGAAGGCGCTGGGGCCCGGCCTGGGCCTGGAGTGTCCCGAGAGTGGCCGAGGGCGGCAGGTGCCGCCTGCGAAGAGCACACTCCCATTTCCTGCTCTGCCTCCTCTAGCGACGCCCAGTAAATTCCAGCGAGCCGGCAGAGCTCCCGCCTGTACCCTCCCTGCAAAGGCTAACTGGCTCAGCTCGGGAGGCGAGGGCGGCCCACAGAGGGGGCGACTGGTCCGGAGGGGTTGGGGACAGAGGTGGGTGTGGCCCGGAGACCTGGCCGGGAGCCGCGGCGCGACGCAGCCCTCCTTCTGCTCCTCGTTCTCTTACAGGAGGGCCATGAAACGCAATGCCAATGCCGGGCTGAGGTGCCCCTTCCGGAAGGGCGCCTGTGAAATCACCCGTAAGACCCGGCGACAGTGCCAGGCCTGCCGCCTGCGCAAGTGCCTGGAGAGTGGCATGAAGAAGGAGAGTGAGCGGCGGGGCCTGGGCCGGCGAGGGGGGGGGTGCCCCGCGTGCGCGCGAGCCGCTGTCCGTGTGCAACAGGCGGCCACCGGCCACCGGGGGAGAGACGCAGGGCGTCTTTAATCTCTGCCCTGGGAGGCGAGGCCAGCATCCCTGGCCAGGGCTGTGCTCTCTCTCTCTCCTCAGCTGCCCCTGCATGATTCTTTTTGTCCCTCTCCTAATTGTTCTTATGGTGGTGTAACGAAATTTGGGGCCAGGGTGCATCTGGCAGAGGGAAGCAGGAGACGTGAGGTGTGATATGACACCCCGCCTTGTTGCTGCTAGCACCCACCGGCTGGCCCAGACCTGGATCTTTATAGCGAAACTGTTTGCGGACAGGTGCCATGGGGCATTCTCCTTCTCCCTCTCTCCTTTGGTGTATTTGTGCTCCCAGGACACTCTCAGATTAAAAGACTCATGGGGAAAATCTTCCCCATAGTTCACCCTTTCCTCGCTGGCCCCCCAATCTAGAATGGAAGCTGGGAAGGGAAGCTTCTAGTATATATTTGTCTCCAATGAACACAGAGTGACCCAAAGCTGTGGGCTGCCTCTTTCAGGGACAAGTTCTCTGGGCATGCAGGCAGAGAGCCTTTCCCGCAGCCCGCTGAAAATGAGGTCCTCGCTCAGATGTCCCTGATGACAAACGTCCTGCATCTCTCCCTCCAAGGACTCCACAGCTTTGCTCTGCACACATGAGTGGGCTCCAGAAATCCATGGAAGACCCTAAGGCTCCAGGCTATATAGGAAGTGGCTGGAGTTGCTATTTCTTGCTAAGTAGTAGCCCCAGCTCTTCTGGGTCTTGAAGACTCAGACATCTTGGAGGACTTTGAGGAGTCTTGTTGGCATATAATCCACCAGAAAATAATAATATCTGGTGCCATTTATTGAATATCTCTTGTGTACAAGGAGCTGTGTTAGGCACTGTATGTTAAGATGAGATGCAATGTCTCATCTTAGCAGTGTGAGCTAACCTGATTACTCCAGATTACAAAGCAGGAAACTGAAGGCAGGAGAGGTCAAGGAGCGTGCTCGAGGTCACAGATAGTCAATGGCAAAGCTTTCATGTAAGCTCAGTGCCTTTGGATTCAGAAGCCCTGGTCCCACACTGTCCTCACAAGCCCCCCTGCAGAGGGCTGCACACCAGTGCACCTGCCCCACCAGCTGCACCTCTGTCCTCACCCAGGTGTTTCTCCAGAGGCGCCCACAAACCTCTGGAGTCTGGACAAGGGTGAATTTCTTGTCACCATCACTTTCCCCTTTCCCTAATGCCTTCTGCTGCCTTGAGAGAGTTACAGTGGCTCCCCCAGGACTGGAGGCTGACCAGGGCACATGTGCCTGAGCCTGCTCCGCTGTCCCTGCAGTGATCATGTCCGATGCAGCCGTGGAGCAGAGGCGGGCCTTGATCAAGAGGAAGAAGAGAGAACAGATTGGGACTCGGCCACTAGGAATGCAGGGGCTGACTGAAGAGCAGCGGATGATGATCAGGGAGCTGATGGATGCTCAGATGAAGACCTTTGACACCACCTTCTCCCATTTCAAGAACTTCCGGGTAGGAAGGGTTACAGTGGCCCCACTCCTGTGCTAGCACCTCAGACCTCAGTCTCATTCACGGGGTTCTCAAAGTGTGGTCCCTGGGTCAGCAGCATCAGCTTGCAAATTCTCAGGCTGCCCCAGTCCTCCTGAATCAGAAACTCTGGGTGGGGGACAAGACTCCCAGGTGATTCCAACTCAGGCTCAGGTTTGAGAATCACTGCTCTCTCCTTCAAAGCAGGTAGGAATTGGGTGTGAGCGATGGATGGAGGGAAAGCTAGGAGGTTCCCCAGCATGGCTGGCCATCAGGGCTTTATGAGGAAAAGGTCAGGCTCTGTTGGGGGTGTGACCTTTGTGAATTGGTATTTATTAGCCATATGTGTGCTGCTAGTGCCTTCCCTCCCCTCCACCCTCAGAGTTATCTCAGGTATCCCACTGGCCTCAGATCTGCTCCTTCTGTCTGTGGCTCCCTAACCCTCCTCTCTGAGTCTCCTCAGCCCAGTGTCTGGGATGTTCGGCACACATTGCAGGTGGAGGTCCCCCTCACCCTCCATTCTGAACCGGCTGGGATGTGTGTGACCACTAATTCATAGATCCAGAAAGCACCACCTGATAGAGGCCAGAGAGAAGGAACAAGTACTCTCTGTGTGTGCGTACACATGTGTGCGTACACATGCATTAGTGGGCGTGAGTGCCAGCAATTGTGCATCCACAGGCTGTGCACATCTGTCTAGGGCCTGAGTGGGGTCCTTTTAATGAAAACACATGCTGTCTCTCCTCTCTCCATCTCCTGGTGTGCGTCCCAGCTTCCTGAGGTGCTTAGCAGTGGCCATGAGATTCCAGAGTCTCTGCAGGCCCCATCAGCGGAAGAAGCCGCCAAGTTGAGCCAGATCAGAAAACATATGTGCTCTGTGAAGGTCTCTCTGCAGCTGCGGGGGGAGGACGGCAGCGTCTGGAACTATAAACCTGCGGCTGACAGCAGCGGCAAAGAGATCTTCTCTCTGCTGCCCCACATGGCTGACATGTCAACCTACATGTTCAAAGGCATCATCGACTTTGCCAAAGTCATCTCCTACTTCAGGTAGGATGCGGAGGCTGGGTGGATGGGTGTGGAAAGGAACAGGAAATGGCCAAGAGGTTCAAAGGGTCTAGGGTGGATCCCTTTGAATTTGGGGGATGTTGGTGCCAAAGACCCTCCTTTATCTCTGCCCCCAGGGCAGCCAGTACTGCTGGGAAATAGAGCCCCAGCTGTATGGCTCGTTAGCTCTGTGGCTGTGGGCCTGCCCTTCAACCTGACGATGTCTCAGCCTCCCCGCTGCTAGACGGGAGCTAATCATACTTGCCCTGCAGGGCTGCCATAGGAAATAAGAAAACATCTGAAGAGCACCCAGCACATGGTGGACATTCAGACAGTAATCCCCTTCCCTATTCCCCCACAAAAGAGCAGGAATCACAAGCTGACAGTTCCTGAGTAAAGACTGAGTTGGAAGGGAAGGAAAGGAAGTCCAGGGAGAGAAGAAAGGGGAGAGAGAGAGGAATGGATGCTGGATCTTAACAGTCTGCCACCAAGACAAGGCTGAGAAGGCCATGGGAGATTGGGTGGTCCTGAGAGCCAAAGGGCCAGGGCTCCCCAGAACTGGGCGCAGAGGCAACAGTCATGGGTGACTGTGGTTAGCAGGAGACCTGGGGACTTCCTGGTGTGGTGGGAACCGCAGCCCCATAATATGTGGTCTGTTAGGGCTGGCATGCTGGGTGTATCTTCCCATGGCGAGGCCACCTTGCCGAGCCTTGTCAGATGGGGCTGAACCACACACACAAGGAACCCTTGGTTTCAGGAGCAGGTTGAGGGCAGGTTATATCCTAGGAGCCCACAGGTTTCCCCTGTGGCCCTGTGGGCGACACACAGGACTTATTTAATGGGGTGAGGGTGATAGGTTTGTGTGGGGTTCAGATGTGACAGATTAGCTCAAGGGGACAGAGGGAGAAGCTGCCTGCAAACGCGGACCCTGGATGACCCCTGTTGAGATCCTTTGGCTCACACTGGAACACCAGGCTGGGAGGCCACTCTCTGTTTCTCACGGACACCAGTTTTGAGCACAGTGACCCAAGGCACCACTACCACCTTCATTCTACAGATGGAAACTGAGGTTCACTGAGGTTAAGAACCTTGTACAAGGTCACAGCTAATCAGTGGTGGAGGGCAGATTTGGAAGTACCAGAGCCAGCTACCTGCTGGGTCCTGAGCCAGGCCCTGGGGAGACACAAGGAGTAGGACCAGTTTCGTGGCATTTGTAGCTCAGTGTTGTACATCTAACAGAAGGGTGGGTGAGAGGCATGCAGGGCCTGAATTCCCAAGGAGACCAAAGCCAGGGGCAGGGCTTCCTCAAGGCAACTCGAGTGGCCTCTGCCCAGGCTCTCTGAACCTCTTCGTTGTCAGGATCACCTCCTTATTGCTGAGGTGGGGCCCTCCCAGGTTGGGAGGGAGCAGCCCCAGCAGGATGGGAGGGGTGTCACTGTAACCATGAATATCAGAGGCTTACCAGGTGGCCACCATGGCTAGGCCTGTGCTCCGTGCTGGGAGTGGGGCTAAAGGCTTCTAGACTGCCTGGAGAGAAATAGCAGAAGTAGGTATATACATGTTAAATTCAACACAGACAGCAGGAAGCAAATATCTCCGCTGCTTGGAGCTCATGCCAAAGGAGTGGCACTTGCAGAAGACTGCATTCTGGAAAGACTTCTGGGAGGGACAAAGACATAGCTTGGCCTGGGAGGCTAGGAGCTAATCTGTCACAATCTGAACTGAGGTGGACGCTATGAGGCCAGGGACCAGAAGCCAAGGCATCGGCTGTCGGTCAGGGGCTGTGTGTGGGCGGGGGTGGAGAAGATGTGGTCAGGCTGTACCGGACCTGGGCACCAAGGTCCGTGGGCATTGGAGAGTCCCTGAAGGTGGCAGGGGAGGAGAGGATATGGCAGGGAAGAGTGGTCTGCTTGGCGGGAGTGTGAGGGAGAGATGGGAGGCAACCAGAAATAACGGCAGTAACCCTCAGGGGAGGGAGCCCAGCTACCTCTGCTCCCCCTCCCCACCCACAGTTTCTGGGTTAGGGGAGTGGGTGCTGGTGCTGGTCTTTGGATGGCTTCCTAGGGAGCTGTCCTCCCCTCCCTGTCCTTGCTGCCAGGGACTTGCCCATTGAGGACCAGATCTCCCTGCTGAAGGGCGCCACTTTCGAGCTGCACCAACTGAGGTTCAACACAGTGTTCAACGCGGAGACGGGGACCTGGGAGTGTGGTCGGCTGTCCTACTGCTTGGAAGACCCTGAAGGTGCCTGTGAGATGCCTGCCCCCACAGAGGGAGGGAAACACGATCGCTGTGGGAGGAAGGGAGCCGTGCCAGGATATGCAGGCGTTGGGATTGCAGGTCAGGGAGACTGGGTGATGGACAAAAAGACCTCAGTGAGGGAAGGCCGGTCAGCTTGGTCAGCTTCTACCCTATACCATCCACAGGTAGCTTCCAGCAACTTCTCCTGGAGCCCATGCTGAAATTCCACTACATGCTGAAGAAGCTGCAGCTGCATGAGGAGGAGTATGTGCTGATGCAGGCCATCTCCCTTTTCTCCCCAGGTGACGGCCTCCCCCAGGCTGGCTGATGCCCCTCAGCTTTACCTGCAGGAGGCCGCAGCCCCTGCCCCCACCCTCCCCAGGGAAGCTCCCAGCGGATGGCCGTGCTCCCCATCACTGCGGGCTAGGATGGGGACTCTGGCTGGTTTCTCCTTGGGTCAGTTGGGTGACACCAAGCCCTAGGCCTCCCTTACTTCCTGGCCTGGGTGACTCTGGCTCTGGGAGGTGGTTGATCGGCACTGCCCACGTTCTGGGCCAGACTCATCTAGTCTTTGCCCCACCACCCCTCCAGACCGCCCAGGTGTGGTGCAGCGCAGCGTGGTAGACCAGCTGCAGGAGCGATTCACCATTACCCTGAAGGCCTACATCGAGTGCTGTCGGCCCCAGCCCGCCCACCGGTGAGCACCGCAGGGAGGGAGGACTCGCGAGGGAGTTGAAGCTCAGGGCAGTCGCCCAGGCTTCCACAGCTAGAGGGCTGGGATCTGGAGGTGGACCCAGCCAGACCATGTCCAAAGCTCACACTTCTGAGCACCAACTAACCACTTTCCAGGAAAAACACAAGGAAACAGGGGGTAGGAAACTCTTTAGTTTGTTTTGGTACTAACTCAAAAGAGGAAGGCTGCTCAGGACTTGGCCTAGACAGGGGATTCCACACCTTCACTGGTCCTCACTAGTTCCTGTGATCTTCACCCAGTCTGATGTCCATGGGCCCAGAGACTAACCTGGATTGTCCTGAGCCCAAAGCCATGAAGAGTTAAGGCCATCACGGGGTGTTTTAGTGTGAACATGAAAACTCAAATCCTCACTTGATCTGCACCAGCTTGCTTTTTGGCTCAGTGTCCTGAGATGCTGGGAGTGGCTATGCCTTAATTTTCTCAGTCCTTCCCTCTATGGAGCCAGGAGGCTGGAGGTGTCTGCTGTCTCTTCCATCATGGGGAAACTGAGGCACATGGTATGTCTCAGGCACTAGATTCAAAGCTAGTTCCAGAAAGGAATTCCAGCCTTCAGCCCCTAACCTCCACGACTATTCTGCTCAGTCCTGGCCCCTGGACGTTAACCACGGCAGTGATTCCCCGCCCCCACCTTCCCGCACCCCCGCCAATTAACCCACGAATTTCGCACCTGTAATGTCAGGACCCACCAAGGTCTCTACGTACAAAGATGCAAAGATCTTGAGGATGGGGTGGGAGTGGGAAGAGGGCAGCTCCCCGCTCAAGCTCCCGGCAGGTTGTTTTGCTCTTCTTGTCTACAGGCTGAAAGAGAATCTTGGCTGACCTGAGATGTCCTGGGATTAAGCTTGTGCAGACTTAGAGCAGCCCTGGGGGCGGTGGGTCAGGGAAAGGGTGGGCTGCACCCTCAACCTTCCTTCTGGCTGGCACACAGGTTCCTGTTCCTGAAGATCATGGCTATGCTCACCGAGCTCCGCAGCATCAACGCCCAGCACACCCAGCGGCTGCTGCGCATCCAGGACATACACCCCTTTGCCACCCCCCTCATGCAAGAGTTGTTCAGCATGACAGATGGCTGAGCACTGCCCTTGGGTGGAGCCTCCGTGGGCAGCCAGACCTAGAGCCCTCTGAGCTGCCACTCCTGGGCCTAGATAGATGGACGCCGCTGATAGCGGACAATGCCCTGCTGAGCCCACCTCCCCAGGGAACTCACTGCTGTGGCCACATCTGGCCAACATCCCTCAGTTCATTCTGTGGAGAGTGCACTGGCCAGTAGGTCAAGCCTGTCAGAGAGGCAAGGCCGCCCTCCCCTTAGCAAAGGCACTGTGGTCTGGGGAGAAAACCCCAGATCCCACTAAATTGTCATGATGGGGGAGGGAAAGGGGTGACCGGCACTGGGCCATCTGAGGGTCAACACCCATACCCAAGTTCATTAGCTTCTTGAGTCTCTTCATTGCTCCCTTAATATTCTGGTCTCCCACTTTCCACTCATTCCCAACTCCCAGCCTCCTGTCCTGAGCCACTCAGTGGGTTCCACGCCTGTGCTTATCAGCAGGTGAATTAGTGTCTATGGGAATCTTCTAGACAGAAGCCAGGTGGCCTGCACCAAATGTCAGAAGCTTGTCATGACCTCACTCTGGGCATATCATTCTGTGTCTCTGCATCCATTCAAACACATTGTTAAGCACCAACGTCAACCTGCTGTGGGGTATACAACACTGACTCAGATACAGAGCCTAACCTCAAAGAGTTTATATTAATAGTTAAAAAAAACAAGGCAGAAACACAAATAACTTGGATCAAAAGGAGAAATGATGAGTGACATAAGCAGCTCAAGGAATTTTTTTGTGTGGACGCCGAGCTGTGCTGGGGTTCTGCGGGCACCTGGGACCCGAGTGAAGGTGCCTTAGGACACGTGTTTGTGGGAGGAAGGGCACAGTCGGTGGCCGTGGGTGCACGTGTGTGACTTGGCGTGGGTCGGTCTGCTCCCCCTCTGAAGGGGCCTGGGTTTGCTACTGAGGCTGCAACACTGGGGTGCCGTGTAACAAGGCTATGTTGACAGTTAATAAATATAGTAGTGTAGAACCGTTTGCAGCATCTTATATTCCTGGGTACATATCTATTCTCAAAGCTAAGGAGTATGAAAGTGTCTGCCTTGTTTATAGCCATTTGTGAGTAAAAATGTTTTTGCATTTTCACCAATTACGCTTTAATTTTATATAAGACATTCCACACCTAAGAACTAGGCTTAGCAAATATGTTCCATGGTTTAGTGTCAAATCAAGGCAATAGAACTTAAATAATGAAATTTTGGCTAGAGATGTAAACTTTCTTTGCCTTTATTTGATGGGGAAAATAATGAGGGAGTGAGGAAATATATATATATATATATATATATATACACACACACACACACACACACACACACACACACACACATACACATACATATTTTTAGTACTTATTATTGCCCTTTACAAATCTGAAAACTCTTTTGGTGTAAGAACATAAAAATGAATGATTTAACTTGGTCTGCTCATAAAATGATTGCTTTATATAAAAATTTAAAGTATTGCATTCCATAATTAAAAATGTAATAATTGAATTAATTTTAAATGTCTAATATTTCATTGAAGATAAGGCTATAAGGTAACTAAATTTTAAGGAACAGATAATTGCTTAGCTTTTTACCATTTTATAAGCAGCAGGCCAAACTTTGAGAACACAGTAAATCATCAATAGTATAAATCAAAGCAGGTAAACATATTCTGTGACATCCTTCTGATTTTCCAGCCTTTTCTACGTCAGGGAAATACAGAAAGCACTCATTTTTAGAAAATAAACTGAGGGGAAAAAGCTCCTCTCTCCAAAGTCAATGAATACAGCTTTTGCTCCCAGGAATTTTGTCTAATTATTGACTTATTTATAATTAGAAATATAAATTTCATCCAATTGTATTCATAAAGCATGTGCATCTCCCCTACCCCACTGAAATAATTTTCTGTGGGCTATTCATCCAAGAGCCTGAAATTGTTAGATGTAGGCTGGAGAAAGGCAAGGTTAAGATGGAATGTAGGGTAAACTTCCATCTCGCCATATTGATTTTAAAAACACCCAGGCAGTTCCCCAAACCCTGAATTAATATGTATGTATGATTTATATAGATGATAAAAACCAAGTGTAGTCTCAGAGTAAAGGTTCAAAGTTAAATGCACCAAAGAGCTCACACAGGACACTTCCTGACAGCAGCTTTGTGGGTCTCACCAGGTGCCAAACTCAACTTTCCTCCTCTCAAACATTTGGGTTTCCTCATTACTCCCTTCCCTGAGCTTTAGAGCAGGTGGAACCAAGCATCAGTTTCTAGGCATCTCTGTGGCCAATGTTTTTTTTCCCCTCCTCAGTTCAGGGTCAGTCAGGAGAAGATGGGGTGGGTTTCTAAAGCTCAGGGAAAAGACCTGAGTAAGCTACTGCACACCTTCCAGATCCCCTGTTAGAGCCACTCATCAGCCTCTCTCTACCCAGCCAAGACTTTGTCTAATTGAAGTCTTGACATTGACAACAAATCTTCTGGTGGGAAGGCCCAGAGTGTCCTCTACTTAAGAGGATGTGAACAGAAGCACACATTGGATTAGCCATCCCTTCCTAGCTCCTGACAGCTTGTGGGCCTGTTCATGCCATCTTCCACAGCAGCTTGTTTCCCCGGGTCGCTTCCCCTTTCTGTACCCCCAGCTTTCCTAAATTTGATGGTGCTGATAGGTGGGTGACATATTACTACACCCGAGAAATTGGTAACCATTGGGACATTTTTGTTCTACAACCGTATCTCTCCACTTCCCACCACCTTTCCAAAACACCTTCCAAAATGGCATCTACTTTCACCATTCCCATGACACATGATCCCAAAGGACTGTTTCGTCGGTATTTTTTGGAAAGACTTAGAAACTAAAAAGATAGTCTTCAGGATTCTAAGTTAAAAGGATCTGGCAGGACACTAACAGACTGTTAAACTCAATTCCAAATAGCTAAGACAGACCTACCTGAGACAGCACTGAGTCCCAAACGAATGCACTTCAGTGCCATCAGGAGGCACCCCCCACAAGTAACATCTTCTATGTTTTTGCTGATTCAGTCTTCCCCTCCCCCCGCCCCCTGCACTGGTAAACGTGGTTCACTATTTTATACATTAGTGGAATTAGCCAACCCACTACCACACTAAATAAATAAAAGAGGACCAGACTTTATCGAATATAAATTTGTTTTTATTGAAGCAGCAGTCACATGACCTTATATCTAGTCTTTAGATTAGGCCTGACAAGAGTTAGCCAGCCCTAAAAAAATGATTTTTTTTTTGCACTAAGAGACATAACATGTTTACATACATCATCCAGTATTCGAAATGAGCAGACTGAAACACAACCTGTGTTGGTTACCTGGGAGGTACAGCCCCACTGTTCGTGGTGTTCATATATTTTACAGAGACCTCCAAAGACCATTACTAATAGGATGAAAGTTAAAAGAAAATACAACTACACCAAACCATGAACACAGTAATCAAAGACAGCAGCTTATACAAGTTTTTAAAAATTGTCCCTTTCAGGGATGTTTTCTTTCTTTTCTAAGCAGTGTCTGCAAAGCTTCCTCTACATCAAATCCAAAGGTTTCCAAGATGGAAGCTGCACCTCTTGGGGCTATACAATGGAATAAGATCATTGGAAAGAACGAGAAGTGGTGTTCGTATCTTGATTTTTGTAACAAAGATTCATGTTTCCCGAATTAGAGGAATGGAGATGGTGACGTGACTACATATTTCAGTGGCAAAATAGGTAGGGTGAAGAAAGAGGGTTGGATACTGAAATAAAGACCACACACTTGTGAATTTTAATTTCATTTCCAGGCTAACCTACTTTTTATTTAATGCAAATTACAGTACCAGTTAACTATTTCCAAACCAAGTCACATAGAACGAAATGTATTTACAAGGGAATGGGGGAAAGGGAAAAAAAACATTGAGCATACTTTTCACAAAAAAGTTTATATTTAAAATGAAAAAAAAAATCAGTCACAGAGGCATTCAAGTAGTAATAATGTTATACAGATTTTGCTTTTCCTTTATATCAAGACAGATTTGCACAAGTGTTTGCAATAGTTTGTATACAACCCACAGTCCTTTATATATATATATATATAATAAATTTTGTTTTTTAGATTTGTTTTTAAGATGGAAGTGGTCACGCTAATTGGTATGTGTAACAGGCCCAAGTGATCCATCGGCAACACATTTATAAATGCAAATTTTACAGGCAAGCAGATTTTCATACATCTATCTGTATCTGCCTGTAGACAGATATAGTAAGAAAAAAAACTTAAAAATTAACACAAGGAAGTCTACTTTGTCAAGCTAACCCCTTATGTACTGGTTGTCATTTTGCTTTTATTGCGGAGGTGCAAAACGGAGCAACAAATTTGAATGAAACGGCATAACCATTGTGAAAATAATCCAAACCCCAGGGATTACTTTCAAAGCCTCTCAAAGGTAGACCTCAGTCTGGAACTCTACTGTGCTTCTAGTTGTCTCTCATTTTCAGTGGCTCAGGTTTCTGCCAGGAAAGACAGACTTTATTGTAAAGCATGCTTACTTTTCTATACAGGGGAGAAAAGTGTTCGGCTCTGTGATTAGATGATCACTAACATTAACAATAGGAATCGGATACAATTTTGGTTTAAAACAAAACCCCCAAACGCCTGGGGATCTGGCATTGGCCAAACTTCCTTTGGAAGATTCCAAAGCTAAATCCTTTAAAAAGGAAAGGGAAAAATAAATGAAATGCCAGTGTCTTTATATCCACAGGGATAGAGAATACAAGTCTTCTCAGAAACCTTTGCATTGGTGCAGACAAGATGACTGGTTAAGCAAACTCTGTTAAAACACAAACCAAAAATATATGTAAAAATTAAGAGGACTTTAAAAAATGATACAACATGTCATTGGAAAGAAGGTGCAGTCTTCTGCCTTGGTGGAATGAACACATGATGTTTCAAAAATAGCAACCTTTGGTTTGGTAAAATTTGTTTTTTCTTCTATTCAAGACATCTTATATGGAGTACTTGGAGGCAAAACAAATACTTTCTACTGTTTTCTTTCAAAAAAGGCCTTCATGTTGGGCACACAGTAAGAAATAAACTGATTTTCAAAGAGGAAATTAAAATGGCATTTCACTGAACAGGGGAGAGATGACAGAAGGGGGGAATGGACTAAGAGTTCCTTTGTTAAAACAATAATCCTCTATCAGCACGGCGGCACTCCGTGCAGTAACTGCTAGTAATTGCACTATAGCATTTTAGACCACTGATGTATCAAAACTCGATACTATTAAGAAACTTTGATTTATAAAAAACCAATTCTCTCTCTCTCTCATTTAGCAGGGAAGTAGGTAAGGAGGAGAGAGAGAGCACGGAAGGCTCCCAGAATCTGCTGTTTTTAAGACCCATGCTTAGGGCTTGCGGAAGAGACGAGCAAAATCTAATCTATTCGATATCCTCCAGCTCTAGGGCTCCCTGGCACTACACTAAGTCCCTGAATGGACTAGGTATGAAATGAAACCGGTCACTGCTACTGAGGAAGAAATGAGACATTCAGAACCAAAACAAAGGCAGGGCTTGTATGAAATGAGATTATGGTTTCCTCTTCCCACTCCTGAGCATGGTATCACTGAAACTAACTGTGGAAGGGGCAAAGATACCGTTTTGAGTTATTATTTCAAAGGGAAAGGGGATGGACAGGGAGACATGGATAAAGGAAACCAATTAAAATTTAAAAAATGAAAGAAGAAATAAAAAGACAAACACATGGAAGCGAAGGCACTCCAAACTATATAGATACACTATACATTGCTAGAGTTATTGTTACAATAATACAGGCCGGTACCTACTGTACAGAGTTAAAACTATATGGCTTTAAAAAGCTCGTCTACATTTTGTCTGATTATTAAACAGAATCACTGCCCTGAACAGTAACTTTTTGCTCATTAATAACAGTTCCTGGGTCCACATATTTACATACAAAACAATAAAACTTAAATTTAAAAACACTGAAAGAAAATATAATGTACAAGCTTGAATTTGGTGAGGAGCTTTTTATTATTATTATTATTATTTACAAAAAGATACTCAGAGACCTGGATCTCACTTGTATAAAAGAGTTCTGTGATCCCGCCATGATCGTTGAGAAAGAAAAAAAAAAACACACACCTCAGCCCTCACACACACACACACACACACACACACACACACAAGAGAGAAAAGCTTCCGACTTTTCTCTCTTTTTCTCATACCCCATTTGTGAGGGGGTGGGGGGTGGGGGAGGGAGAAACCGTTTCCTAAAACAAGCAGAGATTTTTATGGACTTCAGCGAGTATAGCAAGTCCAGAGTAGTGTCTGTATCCAAATGTTTGGCTGGGCAGTTTGATCTGAAAGCAGGTCCATTTCTCTATCACAGATCTGCCTTTTCAGATTCTTTATAAATCCTTTCTGAAAATGGTCTATCAAAGCCATTCCCTTTAAGGAATTATGCTGCTAAATACTTTGATTTCAGACTTCTTTCAAATCTTACTTAGCTCTCAGAAGCACTTTATAAGATGTAAAATTCAATTTGTTTGATTTGGTTTGACTGAGAGTGTTTCCTTTCTCATGAACTCTGATATAACCAGAGATTTGGGAAACCCCTTTTGTGGCCTAAGAGCTTAGATAAACAGTGAGTGAAAACCAAGATGGCTCACAGTTGTCTTTCTGGGTATTGGTTCACTTCAGCAGGCAATGTAACTCTCTTGGAGAGTCACACACACATGGTTAAGAAGCAGGACAGGTGCTAGGGCCTGCAGGAGGGCTGCCAAGAGACTCCACTTCCAAACCATCTGGAGGGTGAGACCCCTAACCTGACCTAAGGTGGCAATGAGGAGGGTGAAGGGAAGTTACACCTAGGGCTCAGCTCTGCAGCCCTACAGTGTATCAGCTAACCTTGGAAGGTGTGTGGGGAAGAGCGGTAGGAGGGAAAGGCGGCCATCACTCAAATGATCTTTAAATGTAAAGTACAACTGATTGTGCCTTAAAGATTCATAGGTCAAGTAATGGCCCATAAGCACCAAGGTGACTAAGGTTCATTTTAGAGTATGTAAGGCCCACATAAATGCCAACCTTAAAAGTATAAAATTTTCTCACGGCAAACATAATCCTTCAATTCTCCTTGCTTTCCAAGAAATATTGCTTTTTCTTCAAAAACAGAGACTGATTCTTACACCATTCACTGATACACAAAGAAAACAGAAATAAAAACTGTTAACCGATGTGGGCGGAAACATTCTTCTCATGCTTCAACCAATTTTGATACTGTAGACAAAAAAAGGCAGTATTGAATATATGTATATATAACATATATACACATATTTATATAATCAGCTTTCCTATAAAGTCAGCAGGTACAAGTGACTGTTTATCATTTTGATGTGTAGTTTTTAATATTCCTACCATCTAAAATCATAATGACCTGACATGCATCAATAAATAAATGTAAAAAGCATGAAGTTAAAAAAAGCTGAAATTAAATACAGATTCTAGATTTGGATTTAAAATTAGAACTATGTGTAGAATGTGGCAATTTATGCAAGCTCAATTTTCAATTAAAAAATATGAAAAATAAACCAGTAGACAATTACAGTTCACATTATTTAACTATAATGTTCTCTCAAGTGTATCTTTCCAAGGGAAGCAACTTTAGAAAAAATCTGGACAAATTCATTCACAGTGGTGAGATGTGTCCCTGGCCTGTCCCGTTCCTCTGGGCTCACTGGCCTTTGACCTCTGCAGCCAAAGTGGCTTGCTCAATACCCTTTCAGTCTCTTCCTACGTCACTAGTTTAAAACTGTGCTAAGATTTGCAGAGAACTTTGGTCAGGCAAACAAAGATCCACCCGAAGAGCACGTGTGCCAGAGTCCTGCTAGTTAGTTGCCCCTCCTCTGGCAGCCTCCCATTTAAGCCTCTTCACCACTAGCACTGACTGAGAGCAAAAAAAAACCTTAACAAATCAACTAAGACTCTTTCTCTTAGAGTTTCAAACTTCCCTGGGTTATGAATGACACACAATTCCTTTTTTGTCTGCCACACCTGCCACCAACATGCCAAAGGCAAGTCCTCAAATACCCGAGGATATGGATTAATTTTACAAGTGACATTTAAGTCCCCATTGAATTATACCTGCTAAGCTCCCAACCAATTTCAAGCTGTGCACTATACCAAAGTCTTACACTAGACTTTAAAAGAAAACAAAGTTCAAAAAAAACCTTCAGCACAGAACAAGGTTTTTTTCTTGGAAGGGGCATGAGGCAGGAGTCCTGTTTTTAAAGTATACAACAGCAGACTTTTGATAAAAAAAAGATTGTCGTGGGAGAGAGATTGTGTGTTCTAGTGCTCCGCTTTTCCCCCTCCCCACAACCCCTCCCACCCCCTGGATCTCTCTTGAAGTGAGAATACAATGAAATTGGTTTGTATTTATAGATATTTTACAAGGTTAAATAAGAACAACAATAATAACAAAAAAAACTGAACACTAAAATGAACAGGTTTTTTTTCTCTTTTTAATTTTCTTTCCAAACGTGACCAGTGTTGCTGAGTGACACTCAAGTAACTGGTGGTTTTTCCTGTGCAGCTGGCTGCTCGGGATTGTTCAGGTGGAGTTGGAAGCTGATGCAGAAGCGGCGTTATTGGTCTGTCCACGGTCTCCAGCATTAGCATCTGCAAATTGACAGTCCCAGGAGACAGCATGAGCAATGCTAGAATACCCCAAAGAGAACAAGAACACTGCCTCAACCAAAGACTGCGAGCTGTGTGGCCTTCTGAACTGTTACCTGGAATGTTGTTTTAAACATGGCCAACACTAAGAAATCTGAATTTCTTTCTGCTTGGAGCTGGTTCACGCCTTGGCATGGTCCTGGTGCAGGGAAGATAGTGTCTTTGAATAAGTTACAGACTCAGGGAGCCAGAGACCATTTCTGTCAAAGTTCTTGCTACAGTTGGGATCAGCAGTATATGAACATTCAATTGGAGTCTCGTTCACTTGAAAATAAATGAACAGTGTACAGCTGGGAAAACATGCTAAAAATTCTGAACCATGTTATAAGATGCCATCTGCTTAAGTGGGTGAATGGGTGGAGGCAATGAAAGTAATCTGGGCCAGTGCTGATAGGCAGAACAGCCAATCTTCATTATTCATGGAGATGGAAGACAGATAACCAGCAAATAAGAAAAGGCCACTGTAGTACCAACTCACTTAGTCACTCCAATAAAGCATCCTGTAGTCAAAATCTTGACACTAAGAGCTTACTTTGCTCTAATCCTTTGGAAATACATATAACTTTACAAATAACTGTTGACCCCTTCCCCCTTTTAAAGTCCATTATTATTTCAAAGCATCCATTAACATTTAAGTGGGCATCTTACTGTGTCCAGATTGGCTCCCAACTCGCACAGGCAACAGACTGCTGTTTCTGTGGCCAACTGAGCTGCATCCTTGTTATCACATACAATGACTAGGAATGTACTGCTGGCCAAATTTTCTCCCAAAGATCTCATGCTAAGCCCTGAGCAAGAGAGGTGACTTGACTGGTATGGGCAACTTCTAAGAACCATCTCTCTAAGAGCCATACTACTCTTGGCCATAAAGGAGGATGACACCAAAAGGCAGACACAGAAGTTTTTGTCCCTCTAGGACTAAAGGGATTTATAGATCTCACATGTCCTATGAGTAGAGATACCAATGTCATGGCTGAATGCAGCAATGGTCCTGGATGTTTCTACTTTTAATTTCTGAATTAGAAGTAAACACAAAAGACCCCAAGGACACACAGGAACTCTTTACTTAAGGATTAGCTATTCAGTTTATCACTTTAATAGCCATTCTATAAAAACTATACTTCCTTTCTAAATTCCTGATTTTCCTGCCCACAAAACAATCTACCCTTATATGCATTTAACCCAGCCTTTGGGGAAGATATGTGACTATCTCTTAATTTGAATGATTATGTTTAATTCATGTAAGTTCCTTCAAATCACCTATAGCTGCTTCTATTCCTGTTATCATGTAAGTACAGACATTATGGCAGCACAGTGCATGCATTAGATTCATATGGCCCATGGCATGGAGTCATATTAATTCATTTAAGATGACACAGAAACTACTCTCCAAAGGCAGGCATGACATCCTTTTCCAGTAATCAAGGAGTAACTATGTCTAACGCTTCATTCATAACTCCTGGTCTTCCTTAGATATGCCCTGCTCAAAGGAAGTTTTATTCTCTGAGGTCTTCCAAATCTGTGCATTAATAATCCAGTATCAATTCCTGTCTAGGCTACAGATTCCTCCAAGGAAAAAAATGTTCATTTTCTTGATTCAGGTGCAAGCTACATTAAAAAACAACATTCCAGAGAAAACCTGGAAGACCACAGAGCTATTTCTGAATTATAATGTTCCTGACAAATACACGCTCATTGTAGCATCTCCCATGCTCTGGATGACACTCAGAACCTATGCATCAAACAGCACTTCCCTCTCATTTTAGGCATGGGAAGATGATAGGTAGAACTGTCATTCTGGTCTTCCCCAGTACTTAAGAGAGCCACTAATCATCAGAAATTTTATCTGTTTGACTACTATATTATAGCACACATACCAGCACTATTAAGCAGCACATCGGCTTACATCAGCCAAGGCTGAGTTCAATAAGTACCACCAGCCCATTTATTTTAATTTGCTCTCTGGCAAAATCCTATTTAGCTACTAATTTGCATATGTCCTTTCACTGCCTACAGTCTGTGAGCTTAAGACATTGCCATTTTTCCCTTCCTTGGATAAATTCAAAGGCCGCTTGCATGATCACAATAAAAAATACAAGCTTTTTAAGTGAGCATATAACCAGAAACAAATTCACTTTCTGAACAAGAAAATGTGACAAAGACACTCATGTTCGTCATATTTGTAATTTAACGACCTCCTGTTTTTCTCTGAATTATTTCCAAATCACTTGATGAGCAAAATTTTTACAGCTAATTATTTTTGATTATAAATATCCCTGATACCTAAAGTCACAGACCTGTACTCATTCATCAAAAAAACCTTTGCCTTATGCAATGATCTCCACTTAAAATCAAATCATACATGCCCTTGCTAAGAAAAAGAACAGAAGAAGACAAAGTACAGCGAGGGGAAAAGTAAAACAAAAAAATGTGAAGTTCTATAAACTCAATACTCAATAGTAGGTTCAATAGGCTACCTGGCTTACTGACTGAAAAGAGCTACATTTCATAAGCTCTTCAATCGGAACCTGGCCCTTTGTCCAGGCAAAGTAAAAGCTGCTGACCATGAGGTGGCTAGGAAGAAACTATTTCAAGAACAAGCAGGAAACAAGGCAACACAGATTACTACCTTTTCAGAAATAACTCAAGGGACAAGTCTTGGTACATGTTTATTTTGTTCCTATTGTCATTCTATAAACTTATTTTACATAAATGAATCTGAATTAATAGGGGCTTTCTATAGTAAAAATGTTTAACTTAAAATTCTGATAAATTGTCACTGGATTTAAATGTTTATTGTAATTTCTGTAACTTTTCTTCTCCAACATTTACACAGCAACTTCATAAAAGCAGCAAAGTTCATTTTACTTCTCCTTACATTCCCTTACCTTTACATATGCATTGGTAAAAGTGATGCTACCCAGTATTACAGTAAAGGATAGGCTAAGATAATCTTATTTACAAAGGACCCAACTATGAATAAGCAATTGACTCACAGTCTCTTGTTTTCAGTCCTGAGATACTCTCCTGAGCTTCATACTGATATACCTTTCTTTAAACTAGTCCAATTCCACAAACATTATGAAGCCAAGTTGTATAACTTAATAGCTATGTGATTTTGGAACAAATTATTTAACTACTCTACCCCACGATTTCCTCATTGATGAAATGGTAATAATACCATCTGCCTATAAAATGCTTAGCACAGTACCTGGCATATAGCAACTGTATAATAAACGGAAATGTGAGACATCTAAAAATACATATATTTAAATCTAGTGTGACTGCAATAACCACCATCACCACCACAATAAATTTAACACATTGCTTACCAATATGCCAGATACCAAACTAAGTACTTTGCAGGCATGTTATTTAGCTCACACAGCAACCCTAAGAAATAAGTACAATTACTGCCTCCATTTTACAAATAGGAAAAATTTGGAAGCAAAAGAGATTAAGTAATGTGCCAAAGACCATACAGCTAACAAGTAGGAGAGTGAAACACAGAGGGCGCACAGGAGGAGAATGATGATCTTTATGGGCAGTAAGGGACAGCAGAAAAGATTTCTTAGCAAAGAGAGAAAAGAAGTTAACAGGATTTTCATTTAGACCTACCTTAACAAAATCCACTGTGATTTCTAGATACCCATTTCTATTATTTAAAAGTCATTACATTAAAACAGAACAATAAATTTATGATAAGAATTAAAAGTATAGTTATTTTATTTTCTAACTTTCAAACAGTCTATACATAGGGTGTACAGATATATGAGCATTCTTAAAACAACTATAGAGCTGACATTTCACTGACTTCAAAACTTCCTAGAAACCAATGCCCATTACCACCTTTCTGATGTTACCACGGAAAACAAACAAAAAATCCTTTAAACCAAGGAGGGACTTTTAAAAGAATAGAGAGAATAATCAGCTTTGGGGGTTGGATAGGGAGGAAAGGAAGCTAGGAAGGTACAAGAGCACCCTTACACATGACAGTAGCCAACTTCCAAGATGACCCCAATGATTCACATCTCTTGGTGTCATGCCCTAATGTAGTCCCGTTCCACACTAAACAGGACTGACCTGTGTGAGTACATAGGATATTGCAGAAATAATGGTGTGTGACTTCCAAGGCTAGTATATGAAAGACACTGTGGCTTCCACCTTGCCCTCTTTCTTGGATCACTTGGTCCAGGGGGAAAGCCAGCTGCAATGATGTGAGACACTCCAGCAGCACTATGGAGAGGTCCATATGATGAGTGACTTAGGCCTCCTGCATACAGCCAGCACAGATTTGCTAACCACATGAATGAGCTGTCCTAGAAGTAAAAAACCCCAGGCGAGCCATCAGATGACTGCATCCCTGGCTGTGTTTTGAGTATGTCATGAGAGACTCTGACCCAGAATCGCCTAGCTATGCTGCTTCTGAATTCCTGATTCACAGAAACTATGTGAGATAATAAATGTTTACTCTTGTTGGTACTAAATTTTGGGGTAAGCTGCTATGCAGCAATAAGTAACTAACACATATGTATATGTCGAAGAATTTAAATGCCACTTAGGGTTTGCGCTCACAAGCCAACAAAAGTATCACTAACAAAGTCCTTCTATAATAATTAGGTGTGCTTCTAATAAACTGTATAAGACAAAGAAGATTATACTAAATTATCAATTGTTTTTTCCTCAATTTTTTTTTTCTCAGAAATCAATTGTTTTCTGAAGAGTCTGTGGTTCTCTGGCTTTTGTGCCAGATATTGCAAAGGGAATTTGCATATGTATTAAAACCAATTTTATTGTGTGATTTCATAGGTATAAACAACGACTTGAGCAATCCCATAGTGAAGCCAAGGGTAAAACCTTTCCTTTAAGTTCAAATACTTAATTTAGGTATAAGGAATGAGAGAAGGCATATAAATAAAAGCAGGTGACTTCAGGCAAAGAAA